ATGGATACAGTATGTACTAGCTTCGATGTACTGGAGTACAAAAACTGCTTTTGTTGTCCTAGCAACAGTCAGGAAGAAGTGATCTCACAAATCAAATCCAATGGAAATGCAGTGCTTTACTGAAATAGACAACTAAATGATTTAAAAAATGGCAGCTTAAAAATACACTTTATGAACTTGAATCAGGCCTTTCAAAAAGGAGGGAGTAGAGGGTAGGAAGTGTGAACTCATGTTTTACTAAAGAATAATAAGTAATAAAATAATTGGCCAGACAGGAATATTTTGCATATGTATCTGCTCCATTTCCTTTGGATCCTAAATGGGTAGAGAATTCCCATCTCCTTCCATTACCAGGGAGCCATATAGGAAGCTATTGCTATGAGTAGATATGGAGGTAAATCTTAAGAGGTACTTTTATTGCCACTGCATTCTTAGGAAAGCATGATAAGGTGTAAAGAAGGAGGAGGACTAGATCTGTGTGTCATTTCATACAAATACTGTCAAGTGTATTGTGTTTTTTGGAAGCACTGTCGCTTCTTTGGAAGTACAGAAAGTGAACTGAGGATGTTACTCTACGCACACACACCTGTATTGTTTTATGTTGCTGTATACTCTGAACATGCCACTGACCACCACTATGTGGTGACTAACTGCAGAATCAGATTTGTTGCCTACTGCGACTAATGAACTGAGTAAGTCTGTTTCCATTTACATTAATGGGTCTTATACTATGCTTATTTTATGAACATCTTCAACAAGAATCCTCTGAGGAACAGAGTGTGAAGAGCTATACATATTTCAAGATCCATATGAAATTGGAATGAACCATGGAACAAAAATAAATTGTGATGGATCTTGAAGAAAGTGGGAGGATTAGTTTTGCCAGATTTATGGTGAACTGTACTTCAATCCAGTCTCATAAATGTTTATTTTGGATTGTATCTGAGATGCTAGGATCAAACATGTATAAACTGAAAGTGATGACATACAATTAACACTTCTGACAAGAATTTAGTGTTCTTCAGTTAGCCAAAGTAGGAAAAGTTCATAGGAATGAAACCTCAATATCTAGTCTGCTCAAAGTGAAATCAGATATAAGAAAATTGTATTTTTGACATATCTGAACAGATGCATTAAAAGCTGATAATCATTTATAGTTTCATCTGTGTATTGCCTGTACATACAATTGCAAGAGGACAATGATCATAAAGAGGATTAAAATATTTTAGATGAAGTTTTGCTAACTACTTTTGCATAATTAAAATAAATTAAAAACAAACAAATGAACAAAAATGAAAACTTTTAAAAGGACTTTTATGTAGCTTCTCAGAGTTAAAATACCATTTAGAAAATCCTAAAAATCAGAAGAGTCTGAAATAGATTTATTCCCAGTAGAGTCTCATGTAATTAAATTACGAGGTAACTACGTGTTTGGTTAAAGAAAGTATACTTTGTACACATTTTTATACATCATTGCAAGGAAATATTGAAAACCTGAGGGCATGATGGAATTCAGAAGTGAACAAATCTTTCTAGAGTATTGGAGTACCTAATTATCATGAAAAGCCTAAGTTCTACTTCCTGCAGAAGACATCAATCAGATGTATGCATCCTTTAGATACACATAGGAATTTTTAAGTGTTTATTTTTCCTCATCTCTAACCCACAAAATGAATGAGTCTGGGGGCATTTTTGCTTCATTGCCTTATGGCAGATTTTTCTGAAATCCTACTATTAAATATATTTATTATTTCATTATTGCTATATGTGCAACTATAATCATATATGGTAATATCCACTTACAGTAGCATGCTCCATTTATGATGCAAGTTTGCTTTATTCTGTTGTCATGTACTGCTAGCAAACTTCTTAATTACATACTTATCTAAATGTAAACTACAAAAAAGATTTTGTTTAGCTTTAACTTTAAAAGTAAAATTATAAGTGGACTAGCCACCTAACCCCTAGGACAGAATGGGCTTACAAAATCTGTTGTGAGAGGGGAAAAAGGCATGTGTGTGTGAGACGGGTTGTTTGCTTGTTTCTGTTTATTTTAAGAAAGCATTTGAAGTCTGTTATTTTTAAAGCATCCCAACATGCAACTTCTCCAGCTATACTGGAACCTCAGTGGAACTCATAAATGAGCATCCCTACTCAATGCAAAAGTGTCTCATTATCTTTGCTAATAACAGGTTAGAGGTGGCATAAGCTAATAATAATAAAAAATATAATAACTGCTGTTTAGCAATGCCACTATTATCACTTCTTGATTCCCTTCTGTGGGATATCCTCACTCCCCCAAATTCATAGATCATGGGATCCTGATGTAGTTCTTCTCAAACTCTAAGAAAGACTATCATTGACTTCAGCTATCTACACGTTATGTTCCTATGTCAATGGACATGTTCCCTGCCCAGCTTTAGAAGACACTTTTAAATGGTTGATGAATCAAGCACAGGAAGGTCAGTATTTGTTGGAAGTCAATATGTACTTTTATAGAAGCATTTATGAAAGGAATTTAAGACACTGAATAGTAAAATCAGACACTTAATTATGGATTCATATAAGCCAACATGAATACACCAGTAGAAAGGTCATCAGAATCTGTTTAAATATATAAAAGGAGCACATAAACTTCATGCTGAAAGCCAGAAGAATCTGTAAAGTTTGAGGTACCTTTTGTTTTGCTTTGAGTAAATACAGCAAAAAGGTCTAAATCACACTGGAATTCCAGCACATCTAGCTGTTGACAGATGTTGCAGATACACAGAATTTCACAACCACCAAATAGATGAGAGGAATAAAGGGAAGATGTATGCTTTGTCCAAGTTAGTTTAGATCTGGTCACCTCCTTAGTTTAGTTTAGGTAGGAGTATTACATCAGCTAGAAAAAAAAAAACTGCAATCACCTACTTCAGTAGCGAGCTTGGCCCAACTCAATGTAATCAGTTCTACAGATTCAGGAAAATATGATTGTCTACAGACAGGTGTTGCACTCAAGCCTCATATATGTTTTATCTAGTAAAGATTTTCTTGTTTAGGAAAGAAAAAATATTGGGAAAGACAACAAATATTGACACCAAACTTATTTCAAACCTAGGAAAAATAGAAACAGCTGTTCTTGGTTTGGTCTGGCATGGTCTCTGTCACTGGCAGCTGCTGGACCTGCCATGCTGCTTTCCTCAGCAAAACCAGGACACTGATATAATAGAACAGAAATAAGTTCACAGAAGTGAAACAATCAACCTCACTGAAACGCTCAAATCTGCTCTAAACATGTGCAGCAGAAAGCAAGCATAAAAAAAAAAAAAAAAAAAAAAAAAAAAAAAAACACTGAGAGGAAGAAAAGCAGCCGAATTTGGAAACACACATAAGGACAAAGGCAAAAGATACTTAGTGTATCAAAAAAATCTGCACACAATAAAGTTCTTATGATGCAGTGATTAACTTTGTAGTCCTTTTACTCATGCCTTTTACTCATTCTATTTCTTATGCAATCTGGGACAGGCTGGTAGTATTAGCAAGGCAGAGAATGGAATTTATGCCCTTCATAGTTCTTGCACTGTAAAAACAAATTTTGATTCAGTTGTGATTTCAAAAGGAACTGTTCCTTCCTTTAGATGTTAAGACCACTGTAGATGAAGTCTTACTAAACCATTATTAATTCTCAGGAAAATAGTCTTAATAGTTCTGGAGTGCTAGATTACTATGTGCTAGATTAACAATGTTGAGAAATAAAGGCTTACAGGTTTCATAAATATGCAAATAAAGTAACAGGAAACACAGTATTTCTGACTTGTAGAATGCAAAGCATTATTTTCTCAGTTGTATTCATATTTTTTTTATATGAATCCTCCATGATTGCCTAGAATACAGACAGCAAGTTGCTAACCTCACTAGTAGAGTACCCAATATAATAACAAATGTAGAGACATAAGTGCTGTTTAACTAAATCAGTTTACACCACATTTCACATTTATTTAAATCAGCAGATCCTGCTCTTTTTGTAAGAAAGATACAATTTGAGACAGTTTAATTCTAATACTGCCCTTACTTATTCAATTGGCTCCAATGGTACAGACATCAATTTTCATCCCAAACCCAACTGAGAATCCCCAGAACACCATCTCTGACTACCTGGGTATAATTAAACTATATGCATGCTAAGGATGAACCATGATGTTTTCTTCTTATGTGTGTCCATGTGCTGTGTATTTAGGGAGACAAGAGTACAGACCATTACAACAAGCAGAAAGCCTCATTGTAACCTGCTGTTGATCAAGGGAATTCAAACACCAAAACAAGAATAAAAGTTACAATGCAAAATGTAATGGGGCAACACAAACTAAGATGGATTAGTTAATACAGTCAGATATAGAACGATTTTCAAATATTCAGTTAATTTCCACTAATGTTGTTTCATCCCTTCATCACAATGAAAGGAAACAGACTGAGTTCCTCAGTTCAACTCCACAACTCAACCAAATAGGCTATATAAATGTGCATAAAAGATGAGAAAACAGTGTATCCAATAATGAAAGTCTGGCAGCACTCCATGCATAGCTACCTGATTTCAGAGTTTAGTATTTGCTATAATGAAGAAAAAATTACTTATGTCAACTAGTTACATTCAAGTTGGTTAGAGACACATCCATTAGGGTATACATATGTAGAAAATGCAATGTATTGCTGGATTGTTGACAAACAAATCAACAAAACTAAATAACGGATGTAAATACTGCTTTTACTCACATTAGAAGGTGATATTATCAATGAGGAAGAGTAGTACATGTTTCAGAAAAGATTATACAATTTCTTAAGTTAGTACAGAACATCAAGTATTTGTTTTTATTGGTTGACAGATATCCATCTAAAACCAGATCAGAAACAATTATATCTCCTGTGTCTCCCACAACATAATGTGCCACAATCAAACAAGGGTAGAATGACCAATCATTTTTTCTTACCTTCACCTCTTCTACACAGCATAACTGACTCACCTTCAGTAGAGAAGATCTGGATTTTAAATAAATGATAAGACAGGAGTCAGGTCCCCTTGAGAGAATTCTGGAACAGATGGATTTAAAAATGCTTTAACTCACCACCCACTCATCCTATACCATCAACTATTATCAACTATGATTTCATCAGCACTTGACACTGCCACTATAGCACGAAGGACAAAATGCTGCATGTATTCACAGGTATTGCATGCTGTATTTTCTATCTAGCTAAACAGAAGATAGATTTAAGGGAATCACTAGAATTGTTGTAGATAGAGTTATGCTCTCAGAAGATTTCTGAATGCTTCAGTGAAACCAGTCATCCACAGGACCAATGACAGAAATGTTACAAACATTCTAGCACTCCTTTATCCTACTGTTAGTGCTGTGGCAAAAAGAAAAGAGCCTCAGAAACAAACATCACTTACAAAGCACAGTAAGAAAAAACAGGATTCAGGCCCTTCTTCTACAACTGTAAGGTGACCAAACTGAATCAGAACAAAGGAAATGGACGTATGGGGATTTTATAACATAGAAGTTCACCCTGTCTACAGTTCTGTTTCTTTTCTTTTTTATTTATTTATATTTTTTGTTAAAAGAAATACATATAAAGAAACCAAAAGAAATATAAAATAAATATAATAAAAACTGCATTAGGGTTTACATTGTATGATTAGTGATTTCTGTAACAATGTATTATCCAGACACAACCATTTTTAATCTGTAAATATTCCAGTGCTTCACAAGGGAGAACAAGTATCTCTATTCTACAGATAAGGAAACAAAGTCAGAGCAGCTACTTTCCCAAGGAAAACTGAAAAGCTGGAAATAGAATTCAGGTCTCCAGTGCTTAATCCTCTCCTTTGTGTCCCTCTATGCCATGATGAAAATTTGTGTTCCACTGAAGATGCATCTTTTGGCAAAGAGTAAGATTTTATAATTGCACCCCAGCTGATACAGCTGCATAAGAGAATGCATGGCTCTTTTCTCAGATATTTTCAGCTCTGCACCAAATCTTTTCTACAGTGCACGCTTCTGTATCATTAAGAAGCTTCGGTATTTATTTCATTCTTCCTACCTAAGCAAATTGAAATGGAGGAATACCAATTCCATCCACCAATGTTATTGATTTAAAAGCATGAGAATGGGAGAAACCAGTAATAAAAAAATATCTTCAAGTTATGTCTCCAAAGTGACAGGAAAAGAATCACAGGAAAACAATCCTGGAGCACATTCTACCTCCAAGACACATAGGAGCAATGAGTGAATTCCATCAGCCTCAGTGAGAGGCTTGGACCTCAGTAAAGTAGTAAGGTTTGCCACAGCATAGCCTCTCTCCTGCACCCTCTTCATATTTGCCTCTTATTTGATGTCAGTGCAAGAAATCATTTGCCTCTGTTAAGCAAAACAGTAAAATATTGTTGACCTTTGGACAAAGCAGTAAAATGTCAGATTGTGCTCTTTTACTTTCTCTGAAAAAATCTTTTCTACACAACATTGTCCTTTCTTTGTAGTAACACATTAAATTGTAATCGGCTCCCAGTATATCTAGTCTCCACTGAACGACCACTGGAAAAATCCATAGAACAGATTTATTCTTTTTGTTCCTCTTTATTAACTTGGCCCTGCAGCATAGAAAAAGTAAACATTGCTCCATAGCTCCCTTGACTTCTGAGGTTACATGCATGCTCAAAGTTGGGCTAGTGTCTATACAGTCAGCTGAACAGCCCTAATTGCTCCTGCTTCCCTTCCCTGTATGCACACAAACCTGGTGATGAGGATGATGAGTTTTTCTATAACAACTCCAATGAGGTAAGCCTCTAGTGAAGATGACTGCATTCCTTGGAGTAAAGGCTGTTTTTCCAGAATGGAGTCTTCTGTTTAGGGAACCACAACTTTCCCCTGTTGGCCACTTGTTTTTCTGAATGACTTCCTCTGTTATTAGGGCAGCTGTGATCCATACATGTTTTCTAAGTTAAAGAACAAAAAGAAGAGAAAAAAAATCCTTCAGTGCTAAATGAGTCAAGGATACATGTATTGTTTATACATTGTCAAAAATGTATTTGTCTTAAAGCTATGTTATCAGATATATAGTTGCCCTAAGGATCAAAGTCTAAAGCAGAACCACTTTCTATTTTAATCAGGCCTACAAAAATAAGTGGCTATATAAGAGAAATATTTCCCTTATTTTTACATTATTATTCAAATAATAATAATAATAATTTTTATAACCCTGCTTTACTGAGTTTCTCTGAGATGTTATACAGAATAGAAATAATCCTCTTTTCTATAAAGATGTACTGACTATTAAACAAAACAATGATGGATGCCATTATTATGGCAGAACTGATGTCCATTTATAGTGAGAACAGTGACATATATGTTTACCTAGACCTTCAAGATATTAAGGCTGAAAAAAGCAAGGTTCTAAAATAAGGGGGGCAGAAATGGGGCATTTGGATGACAATGGACAGCTGTGGCCTCATAGCTCACAATTAGCAAGTAGAATAGAAAAATGTCAATAATCTCTGGTCCCCATCTCTCAGCTTGGTACCTTACAACAAGCTTTAAAGTAAAATAGGTCACAAGGAGTATGATAGCTTAATGACCAGATAAGCACAAAAGTTGTGAAAGAAGCAAATGCACAAATGATCAGAACTGGCTGAGACAGAAGGCAACACACAAATTCTTAGAAGAATTGGAAAACTTTTTGTGGGAGTGCCATTCCCATTCAAAAGGCAGAACTGGCATGATAGAACAATATGATGGAGTCTACTGCACAATTCTTGAAAAAGTACTGAGGACTAAAAAAAAGAATTAACTTCAGCAATATCAATATGAAAAAAAAAAAAAAAAGGATACAAAAATTACCCTTAATGGACCTAAACTCACCCTATGATGATACATACATATTTTACTTTTTTATTACTTTCTCATTTTTAACTATTGTTTCCAAGAAGTACAAACTATTTCTGGAAATAATTCAACCTTATCAAATCTTGTTCTTGTAGAATTTAGGAACATCTTTCTTAAAGTGGTAGAAATAATGTTGAGCTAAATACTCCTTTGACTGGTTATTCCATATTATTCTAGGGATTTTTGATGCCACATACAATTCATTATTCTCAGTATTTGGCATGACAGTGGATGAAAAAAAAAAAAACAAAAACAAAAACAAATTTTCATCAATTATACATTATTTTCAATAGAATTTCATGTAAAATTCCTAACTTTCTAATGGAAGATGCTAATAAATGATAACCTGTCAACTCAATTGCATACTGCAGCCTTTATACAAAGCTTTATACTGCTCTGTAGGCCCTCTGAAGATAAAGGGCAAAAGCCTCGGAGATGAAATTGACATTAAAGTGTGAAATTAAAGCTAAGAAAAGAAGACCCAGAATGAAGAAAGCACAGCAAGAGAAGAAAAAGCAACAACAACAACAAAAACATTATAACAAGACTTAAAGTCCCTCTGAAAATGCATGATTGTAAAGAATATCTGAGTCAGCAGAAATAATAATGAAGGCAAGCTACTCATATGACAAAAAGAACAAGCAGAGTTGAGACTAGAAAAAGCCCCCCATAGTAATATTTAATTTCAAACAACATGGCGACTGAACCATTTTTAAGCTTTTTTTTTTTTAATATAATAAAAATACATTTGTGCAAAATAAATGAAAAATATCAATGTAATGCCTGTTTTGGGGGCGTATTAGATTTTGAGCTGGTCAGCTAACTTATGCATCATGCAGCAACTGATCTTATCACAGGAAGTCTGCTTCAGTTATAATTGACAGTACCAGTCTGCATCCATCATTCATGAACCATTCTAGAAAACTTTGCTGCAGGACCCCTGAAATATTACAGGAAGCCAGAAATTCCCTAACAGTTGTCCAAAAGGCAGCTTGAAATCAGTGCATGTTTTTTAAATGTTGGGCTGGCAGAGAAGAGAATTGATCTGTGCCTTACTAAAATCCAATAGTATCTCCATGGACTTACATGGAAAATTTCAAAAAGCACAGGTAGAGGCATTGTGGCCACCATAACAAAACACTTTACAGGCACTGTTGTTCAAGTAACACCTGGATGCAAGTGTAATAGTTTATCCCAGCCTAGGTTATCTAGATTATTGTCCAGGGAAACAGTGGATGCCCCATACCTGCAAATGTTCAAGTACAGGTTGGATGGAGCTTTGAGTAAACTGGTCTGGAGGGAGGTATCCCTGTCCATGGCAGGGGGTGATCCTTAAGGTCCCTTCCAACCCAAACCATTCTTTGATTCTGTGATCTCCATTCCATTTTAAATTTTGTAGTAATTTTACTGTTCTGTGGTTGTCCCTTCTTTAGGTGGGCCTGATTTTCCAAGCCCAACCTGCTGGAAATATCAGAGCTGTAGCGTTTCTCTTTATGTATAAAAGGAGAAGATGAGCAGAAATGGCTGATACTATTCTGGCATTTCTTGCAGTGATTTCTTTCTCTTACAGTTTGAATTTCCACTTCTCTAACTAACTATATATATATACATATATATATTATATCCATCCTTAGTCACATATTCACAGTGCACATATTTTTCAAGCACATGCCAAGTGCTAACCAATTCTTGGCATATATTAGCACACCAAGCTACACAGGGGCACAATCCAGATTTTTTGGATGAGAGGAATTGGCCAGGTGTGAGGAAATAGCATACTGTTCTCTTCGAGCCAGGAGAGGCTATGCTGAAACTAAAACTCAAGCCTGTTATGGTGCACTGCCAAGGTTACTCCTAACTCAAGGTTACTGCTTAATTCTTCTTGTAACTCAGAAAAAGTAACCATTACAGCAAGAACTTACAGGACTGCTTTGACACCTGATTATTCCTATTCTATTGGAAGGAAATGCCACTGAAATTTCTGGAGGGTTTCCCTGGCACCACATGCAGAGACATTCAACAAGATACTAATAGTGAAATGTTACATTTCAATCTAGTTCACCATATGGAATTATATATCACATATAAAAAAAAATAAATAAAAAAAAAATAAAATACTTAGTAGTTAGGCTGTATCTTTGCTTATAATCTCTGATATTTTTATTACATCTGATGGGAAAATGAAAGGAATGTCTGAAAAAGAAATACATCAGTATGATCAAAATCAGAAAAGTCAAAGATATATCCAAAATAAACCACAGATTCAGAGTATATAATTCACTGAACATTCATTATCTTGTTTTATATTTGAATCATAAACTCTAGTGACTCTTTTTTTCCATTTGTACAAGAAGCAGCAGTTATAAAACCAGTAACATATTTATGTAGATTACTGACACTGTAAACTCAAAGCTCTTCCTTATCCTTTTTCTATTGTCATGTGATTCTGCTTTTAAGCAGGCACATTCTTTAAGGAATTAATTTGCTACTAATTAATTTTATACTATATAGATTAATTACAAATCAGCATGGAATACATTACAGGTAGATGCAATATTTTGTTCAGTTTCAGTAGTTCATTATAAGCAGTTACAATAAGCCCCAGTACACCAACTAAATACATATAAACCAGTTAAAGCTCATCAGAGATTGGCTTTGTGCTGTGACCCTGAAAAGCTACGATTAGACTGATATCAAAAAGTAAATATTAAGTGAAAAATGTGATTTTATTTCCTTGCTTCAACTTTTGCATTATTCAGCAGTAAGTTTAATTCAACTGGATATATTAAAAAAAAAAAAAAAAAAGCCAATGGACAGATTCAGTAGATTAGCCACTGTAACACTACTTTTACTTTCACCTTTCACTTCCTAAAAAATTAAGATGAAGACTGACTTTTATATATTCTCTCTACAGAATAAAGCAGAGTATTATAGAATGCATTTGCCAAAAGAATAAATCATGATTGACAAAGTGAAATTTGTTAATACAATGGTTTGAGGCAGTTGACAGAAATTTTTGTCAACAGAATAGATTAAGGGATTCAAAAAATGAAATTTGCAGATGGAATGGCTTTGATGTTTCTGATGAAAAGTATTTTGTTGACAGAATGGATCAGAGTGAAAAAATGCATTTTCTCAACACAAGGGTTTTAGCTCTTTGACAAAAATGTATTTCATCCCCAGATGTTTTGGCTGGGCTGTCAATTATTCTCCACGTCTGCCATTAACCAATCACTTTACTGTCGACTGATTTTTTTAGTAACAGTGAAAGCAACGGGAGATACTACAAATACCACTACAATTGGCAACTTTATTAATTATGATGCTGCAGTTAGTCCAATATTCACTAAGTGCGAATTGAGGTAAAGATATTAATTTAACACAATGGGCTGTGTGGTTTTCCCCTCCCTTACCTGTCATTTACATATTGCATTGATTGCAATATTACCCCCTTCCCTCCCCTAGAAGAACATTTTGAGAGCTGCCTTTCAGCTTCACTTTTATAGACACCTTTAAGCAATAAGGAAGAGGGCTAGTCTGTGTTCTTGGTGTATCCCAAGCAAATGTTAGTGTGTAAATCCACTAACAAGGGCAAGTCACCTTTTCCGTCCCACATCATCACGTGGAGCAGTTTCCTTGTGCAGCTGTATAGGCCAACTAGCAAGTCAGAAGTGGGCAGTAAAGTTTTATTGGACCAAGCATCTTCCCCTTGCACCCAGAACAAAGGGTTGTCCAAGGTTATAAGCTTAACCTGACCAAGTTGAAGTGCATAGAAAAAAGACAACCTAATTCTTGTTTCTCTTTTTCAGTGATTAAGCAGCTACATGATAACTTCCTAAAGTCAACTTGCATACGTCATTTTAGTTTTTGCATGGGTTTTTGAGATGCTGTGACCACACATGTAGGTGCATTCTGCTAGCCAGGTCCCGGTGTGGCTTGCCTGAGTTTACCAGTAAACACCCACATGGATCTACACCTCATAAGATGCTGGCATACATAACTCCCAAGGTCATTCAAGACAGAGTTTTGTCATGTAAATACTAGATCTGCACAT